TGCTGCTGTGCTGCTGTTGCCTGCTTTCCCACGTTAGCCGCCGAAGAGAGATCAAATTGATCTGATAGCTGATGATCAGTTAGAGTCGATGTGAGTGAGTGTGTGTGCGAGTGTGTAGGCTTGTGAGGGCAGTAATGAGGGTAATGTGATTGCGGGCAGATAGAAAGAATGAGAGATGTGATGATGAGGTGATGCACAACTGAAGAAGAAGCCTGACGATTGAAAGGGCCAAAAGTGATGTTTTTGTGGCTGAGACTTCACAACTTTAGCCCTCAGTTCTACCTGTTGTCTAGTTCCAAAATATATTGCCCAACAGCTAGTTGATTGTTGTACGGCAGGAGTATAGTTCATTATCATTATGTCTGCCCTTTTCTTCACCTTTCAGTCAGACTGACAGACACTGCTCGTAAATTCTCCCACGCCTTCAGGCGCATGCAAACACACTTTATTGCCTAGTTGGCTAGCGATTCTCGAGCATTTTCTTGAGCACTTTGATGCAGACAATTTGAGACACTGAAAGTGGTCGCCCAGCAGTTGTCGAGTTTGATTGCAAATGGCTTAATTATGGCGACGCACGGAATATTAGTGAAGGGAAACAGCGGAGATACGAAAAAGTAGCCAAGCCAGCGATGCCCACTGTCTTCAGACACCGGCCTCCAAACAAAAAAATGTTTTTTAATTGACGGCTGGCAGACACAGAGGAGCAGGTAGGTGACTTGGGCGAGCAGGGATTAAGACAATGAAAAGTCAAAAGTCAGTGAAAGATATAGACAATTATGAGTGAAGAGTGGAAATGCCAAGGACAACAGTGGCAGTCTCGCGCTCAGGCAGACAGTGCACTTTACGCCTCTCCGCCGTTATCTGCCTCACGCAATCGGCCTCTGTGCAGTGGCTACTGAAATCTCTCTCTCTTCTTTCTCTTGTTATCCAGTAGCGACGGCAGCTTCTGGAACTTCACTTTGATGACAGTTTAATTGACACACGGTGTTGCTTGGCTTTGTATTGCCACAAAACAGGAGACGCGCCAGGGCACACTGTTCCAGGGAGTGGTCTCTTTTTTTTGCTGAGTGTCGTAAATCAAAAAACAGCATTGCCCAGATGACATTAGCTGATTAGTGCAGTTGCGGATTACCGTACTGGAAGATTGTGGTAAAGCTGATGCACTGTGNACACACACACACACACAAACAATGACTTCACTCGCTTGAAATGTCCCCCTTTTCTAAATCTTTATCATCTGACCACCTGTTTGTTGAAGGATGACCAGACGGATACATTACTTTTACACCAAAGTTTTGATCTGGATACACTTTTCTACTGATGTTATGCTTGTTTCACTACTGATAAGCCCGTCTCCGTATCAGCATCCCCTTAGCAAAGGGTATTAAAAATAATGTAGGTTTGTGTGCTTGTGCTTTTGCTTGTGTTTGTGCTTGTGCACCTCACAAGACCTGTCAAGACAGTGGCAAAGCAGAGTGAAAACGATCACCTTCACAAGTTGGCGGCCAGTGATTAGCAAGCACAGGTTTACTATTATTTGTATATCGCAAATCAATCTTGGCGACAGCGTTTGACACTGTGACACTTCAACCTCTTGACTGCCTTTTAGTTTTGGTAACTTGCCGACAAAAACTGCACTGATGTCTATTTCATTACACCTGTTAACTAACAGCTCCTTTTCCTCATTGTCTCGTTTTTTGCAGAGTCTCTACCGTTTAGAAGGCAAGCAAAGTTTTGTGACTGAGCAATTCCTCTCTCTTTCTCTTGGTACCATCTCGGCAGCTCAGCTCAGCTCAGCTCAGCTCATCATCTCAGCATGCCCACCGTCGAATTGCGTGGTCTGCCCGCTCTGGAAGCCTGGGGCCGCAAGGTGACCGCCGGCTATCGTGGCGTCTCAGTGCACGACCTCAGCAGCTCCTGGCGAGACGGACTCGCCTTCTGCGCCATCATCCACCACTTTCGGCCTGATCTAATGTGAGTACAGTGGAAAGAAAGACAGATAGAATGAACACCACCGACAGAGGGTCATTAGAAGAGGCAGATAAAAGGAAGAGAGAAGTGAGCACATGAACACTGCTCAGCGGGAGGTAGTAGCAGTCTAGGGGTTTCCTTCTTTTCGGTGAGCTGCAATTAGCACGATTTTGGTTAGTCATGGGCAGATAGAGAAAGAGAGGAAGGCAATTAGAAGAGAGGACTGCATAATTTAGTCAAAGTCACAAGAAGAGGAGGAGGAGGAGGTGATTATTTGGCTAGCAAAAGCGGCCATTTGGCACTTTGATTTGCCGGTGACCTTGGCCAACTAAGCTTTGATTAACACAACATTATTGCCAAATATCGCTAAACTAATTCTCACTTTCTCTCCCATTTGCAGCGACTTTGACAGTCTGACAAGTGAGAATATTCTCTACAACAACAATCTCGCCTTCAGCATTGGCCAGCAGAAGCTGGGCATTCCGGCGCTGTTGGACGCAGAGGACATGCTCCTCGCCGAGCCCGATCGTGCCTCCATTGCCCTCTACCTTTCCGAGGTGTACGAGTGCTTTGAGGGCTCAAAGAAGCCCAACCGCCGCCGATCGGCAATCTTCAATCGTTCCTACTCCAACGGTTCCACTGTTTCCGGTTCGAGTAACACGAGCTCGCCTACCACGCCCACTACACCTGCCTACACCACAATTAAACCAGTCAAATTTTGATGATCTTTTTT